CGCCGGCTGCCTCCTGGCCAAGAAGCAGTTCTACCGGAGTAAGTGCTCAGGGGGGCCGCACCCGGGCCCCCCTCCCCGCCGGGGTGGCTCCTCGGGAGGAGGCAAGCTGAGCTCCCCCGGGGAGGCGTCCGATTTGTGTCTGCTCATGACCGAGTCAGAAAGGATTTCAGGTGACTTCTGGATGAGCTGGAGGCAAGAGGGTGTTTTTGCCTAGTAGTTTTTAATTGCTTGGGGAGTTCTGTGTTGTATCAAGGAACTTCATTTTTTAATGAGCATCTGCTTCTGGTTGTCTGCTTTTTTCCTGTTTAGAGTTGTTCATTAGGGATATGTAACTTTTTTAAAAAAATATGGCATAGAAAAAAACATTAGCTCAGCAAGTCCAGGCTTCTAACTGTACTTCATATTTACTTTGCAGGTGTAGAGAGAACACAAAATCAACTCAGGTTTTTGTTTCTAACTATGTGAAGCAGTCACTGCTTTGAGAGTACATGTGGTGTATTAGTATCCCTCTGTACAGGATGGACACTGTAGTGCAAGTATAGCACTTAGTTGTATCACAGTGGAGAGCATCGCAGTTAGGTTGTTTTGGACTTGAATAGTCAAGAATAGACTCTTGTTTCGATAGCAATGTGTACATGATCATGATGTCACTGATTTCAGTGAAAGTTATGCAAACATCAGAGTATGCTTTTAAATGAAAAGTAAGTAGACTGAGAGATCAACTTACATAAAAGTTTTTACATAAACATCTGTAATAGAGTGGTGTATATAATATAGAAGTTATACTTTGTAGCTAAGTAAATTTATATTTTAGATTGTTATCTCCAAGGTAGCAGCAGGTCTGAAAAATTCTTGGAATTGAAATAGTGTACGGTCTCAAAGCAGTTTTTTCATTATCTGTGTGTCTGTTTCCTCCGAACAGCAAGACAGAACTCGGAATCCAGTGTTTCTTCCAGCTCCTCCTGCTGTTCGGATGCTGTGAACGTTACAGAGCAGGACAAAGCATTTAATGGTATTGCTCCCTTCTTTCAAACGGTCTTCTAGTTTTGCCTGTTTGTTATTCAGCCAGTCTAATGGTGTGGGATTTTTCTCCTTTGGCAGGGTTACCAGAGTTAATTGATAACTGTTGGTGGATAAAAAGCTTTTTCCATAGTGAACCATCTCTACCAACTGTTGGCAGAAAAACACTCTCAGCAAGCAGGTGCGTCCTGTTTTTACAATGATGGGAATTACTTACTCATTCCATTTTCCTTTTGGTAAAAGTGTTACTAAAAAAGTTGTAACCAGCTAAAAGAATCTGGGGAGTGCAATGCTGACTGAAATGAAAAATACTGCAAGTGTATGGCTATAGGAGCTTCCCATGTTTTCATTTTAATAAATGAACTCAGCTACCTGACATTAAGCGCTTGCACACCCATTTATGCAGTTTACCCATTTTACTTATGTTAAAAAGCTGATATGAATGCATTCAAAAATACTTAGGTGGATAAATAACTTTGAGGAAGATATAATGATAATTCTACTCATAGTCTTTTTTTTTATATATGTATTTCTGCAGTGCCAACAGTTGAATATGACAGCATGCTGGCTTTACAGACTGAGATACTATGTACAGACTTGTTTTTCCAAGAGGCTTGAGATCTCCTTAATGTCTGGGTTCAGCTGCAAGAAGAAAGCAAAACCTTTAAGAGTGGAAAAGTATATTTTTAAAAAACATTTTTCCATAGCTTCAATGATATTGTTTAATGGATGTATTCATGGCCTGCCTTGTTCATTAGAATTGCTATAGTTTGAGATGCCTCTCTAATGGAAGTTACTTGCATTAAATATCCTGATGACCTACTTGGATAGTTAGAGGAAAAGAGGAAAATAACGGTAGAAGTAAGATATTGTAGGCTGAAGAGAAGCATGTGAATTGGGTGACTTTGTAATAAGTGATACTGTTAAGTTTTACCTGTAAGTTATCAGTTTTATAGGCAGTCACAGTGATGTAAACAAGACTCATTATATAGTCTACAGTAGGACTGCTCTTTGGTACATATTTTGATGTAAACAAGATTGAGATATGGAGTTCAGAGCAGGACTGCTCAAGGGTATGTGTCTTCTATCAAATATTTGTTTACCAGTTACAGGGAGTAAGTTTACAAGAAAGCTTGCTAATAGCTTTGCTTTTAGAAAGCCAAATTACATGAAGAAACAGTAATCAGTTTGCTGTCTTTGTCTGAGCAGGGTGTGTAATTCCCAACCTCAAATACTCGGATATAAATTTCATTTGGGTCTACATGTATTGGTATTTGAAGACAGAATAGAAGAGCTAGACAAGAAACCAGTAATCCTAATGGATACTGACGTCTTCCAAACAGAAGAGCTGATATTCCTAGCTCTGTTTTAGATTACTCTCATCTGCTTTGCTCTAGCTTAAAGAGCTACTTGTTCTCAGGTGACTAATTCTATCAATATTCACTGCTGACTGTCAGCTTAGCTATGTGCTAGATCTGGTGAAGTGTTCAACTTGAAGTAATTATATTAATGTTATTAACCAAGTCTACCTTTGTCGTGACTTGTCCTCTTGAAAGGTACTGTAACACCAAAGCCTCATTTGGTCTTCAGCATTGCAAAGCAGTACATCAGATTGTTTATTTTATCAAGTATGACCGCAGTGGATCAGAGGTCATAGAAGAGAACAAGTATTTGGCTGGATGAGACTATTTCTGTAAATTGTCTATGTGACTTTTTGATGTACTATCACTAAATCTACCTGACCTTTGTCCATCACTGGGTGAACTAACCGTAGCAAACATTGACATAACCAGCATTTTTTCACTATAGGTTAATTGTATGGTTATGCATAGAACTTTAAAGTGTATCAAGTGACTGACTGCTTCAGGATGCTGAAAAAAAAAAAACCACAATTCTGAAAATACAGTTTCAGGAATCTTTAAATTGGCTTGTTACATATCTTGCTTTACTGCTGTTGTGTGGATTCATCTTTGTCCTTTCTCTAAGTGTACACAATTAACTATTTTTTATATGAAGATTTTTTTTATTAATAAAAAAATAATTTTTATTTGTTCTGACTTATTTTTGGCCTCTAATAACAAACGTGTTCAGTGTCACTTGTGTGGCTGGTGGGTGGTTTTTGAGTTGTTTGAGATCTGGGGGTTTTGTGGTTTGTGGTTTTTTTTTTTTTTTTACATGTGAAGTATCAGTAAAATTTAAAATTCCCACTGAAGACTTTGTGTGTGTGTCAGGTTCTTCCTTTAGTCACTTTAAAGTATGATATGAGATGAAGCAGGAATTGAAGAATGTAAGCTAGGAAAAAGACCCTAACAGCCTTTTTTTGTGACATGTTTTAAAGGAAGGGAAAAAAAACTTAGAGTGCTACTTGCAAGAAGGTGATTGTGGTTCTCTTTGAAGGTGCTTGAAACCACAGAAGAAAGAAATGCAGTAGCTCTTATTGTACATGAGAAATATAGGATTCAGGAACACTGTGGATAAGTGCAGTGACAAGCTTCCACATTGCTCCCTGAGCTTAAGCTGCTTCTGTCCTTCTATTGCCAACTTGTAGTTATTCGTGCCAGTTTTTCACAGTATGGTTACCCTGCAATGAATCAACTCTATTAAATAACATCTAATGTGGCTATGACAAACTCCTGAGAGGATAGGGGTAAATGGACATTGACATGCTTGCTATCAAAGGGCTGCATTTTACTACATCATGGTAATAAGGAAACGCCAATTTTCTTGAGTTAAATGTCAATATAATGTAACTTGGGGGGGAGGGGGGGGAAGCTAAGAGTAAATGATTTACAGGGAAGCTGAGAGGAACATGAAGGGTGAACTATAATTGTATAGCTTAAATGCAGCTTAGAATAAGAAAAACAGAAAATTAATATGATATTAATACCTACCTGGGTAAGACAGGTAGAAATATTTTATCCAAGTTTAATTGCAATAGAAAAAAAATGGTTTTCCTGTTAGAAGGGCTATAGGTAGAGATTTATTTTGACGAAGTTAAGCTGTGTATTGTTGCCCATCGGGGGGAAAAAAGTAAGTGTCAGAAACAGGACTTGTGTCAGCATGTAAGTACTAAGTTAGATCCAGCTATCATCACTGAGCTGGGAATGGAGAGATGGACTTGGAAAAAAAAAAAAAACCTTTATTTTGCTCAAATGCACGTGTAGCAGTGATATTCAATAATGGGTTTCCATTTATTTCCCAAAAAGAAGCTCTAAGGCATAGTCTACTGGTCATAGTAATATGCCATTTTAGGAGTCAAAACAAAAGACAGATCTTTTTATACTGCTTGTTTTCATTCAAGAAGTATGAATCTTCCTGTTGAGTATAATTGGAGAGATTAATTATGCTGAAGTAATTTTTTTTTCCCATTTAATTCTGCTCCTACTAATCCTATCTCTGGAAGTAACATTCCAGTTTCTTAACAAGTAATTCAGTACAAGGGTCTTAGTCTATATACATATTGAAGACTGACTCAACATGGAAAACTTCCCAGACTTTCAGTGGGATTTTACTTGTAAATCACATGGCCATCCTAATTATAGCAGTTGGTTCTTTATTGACACAATATAATTATTCTTAGATGACTAGGGAATATTGTTTTAAAAGTAGTTTGAAAATTTGAATTCTGGTAGGACAAAAGTTACAAGGTTATGTATACTAGAGTGATGTTTTGCAATGTCAAAGTAGGTACAGTGTGGAAGAAATACCATAAAGTTGCCTTTTTTTTCCCAGGGATTTTCTTGTCTGTATGTGAGCTACGGAGAATTTATGAAAGCATTATGTTTGATACTGTCATACTGTGCATTGTGGATGGACTATAATAAGAATTAACTGTAAGGACTATAGCTATTGGTACGAAGTGAGGGGGTTTTGGTATACTACCCTTTTCTGTAGAAGCAAGAGTGATAAATGAACCCATTTAAGAAACAGGTTTTCAATATAAAAATGAAAAGAACTCAAACAACAAATCAAACTCATTTTGGGTTGTTGGGAATATGACTTTTTTTCTAATATATGCAATAATTAAACCTCCCATGAACAATGTGCTTTAGCATTCATTTGCAACTTCTTTGGGTCATTTCTGTTTGTGATATTACAACATTCTGCCAATTAAAAATGTGTGCAAATCCCTCTTTTTTTTTTTTCATGATGCTAACTAATTATGTATTATTTCTTTTTGAGAGCAGGTTCTCTCTTATTGTCACTTCTCAACTCCAATGCAAAGGAAAACCCAAGCAGGGTTCAGTCAGCCATTTGTATCAGGATTAATGTTTGCAAAACGTTTCTTGGATTATTCCATTCACAGCTGGTGACTGAAAATTATGACCATGTTCAGTGTCCTGGCTGACTCTTCAGTGACAGAGGAATTCTGTCGGATTTCTCTTGTCATGCACTCTGTCATTTGCCATTTTAAGCTGTTCTGGCAGTAACAGATGTGAATTATACTGTATGTAATCACTGGAAGATAGGTCTTTGTGATAAAAAGAGGCAATCACTAATAGGGAAAAGAGTCAGATCAGTATATTGAGAGGAAGTCAGGGGAAAAGCATATTTTTTCCTTTTTTTCCATTTCTGTCTCAAACTGTGGAGAGAGAAATCACTGTTTCCCAAACTTATGCTGAAAGAGGAAATTCATTTACAATAGTCACCGGTATGTTCAGAGACACTGACTTTTTCTGAAAAATGTGAGTTATAAAATGCTTGTAGTCACAACACCAGGACATGATCTGGACAGAGATACAATATTTTTGTCAGATCAGCTCATAACAGGAAAAGAAAAGGCTTGTATGTTCAAAAAGTTTTTTCTTTTTTTAGCTGTGTCAACTGTGTCAGCCATCTCCTTAAAACTTTGCCTTCTTTGGCTTCAATAAAATTAATTTTCAGTTATATACCCATAAAGTAGAACCCATAATCATGCCTTGGTTAGCTGAGGTAGCAGTATTAGGTGCAAGATAAAGGTGTTTTGTCAGTTTGTGAGATGCACTGAGGTACAGCATCTGTCACAGCAGAAGAGGACTGACAGGACTGGCTGGACACCAGTCACCCTACTGGGATCATCTGGACAGGCTGAGGCAAGGATGTCCAGGAGAAATGCATCAATACTGGGAATAACCTTTAAAAAGTACATTATTCCATTTCTGTGTTTGTTTGTTTTTTTTTTGTTTTCCCTCTATTGCTCTT